TGTAGCTGTCCAGTTTTGCCAACACCAACTGTTGAAGAGGCTGTCATTTCCCCATTGTATATCCAAGGCTCCTTTATCATATATTAATTGACCATATATCTGGACTCTCTATTCTTTTCCACTGGTCTATGGGTCTGTTCTTGCGCCAGTACCAAATTGTCTTGATTACTGTGGCTTTGTAGTAGAGCTTGAAGTGGGGAAACGAGATTCCCCCCTGCCTTATTCTTCCTTCTCAGGATTGCTTTGGCTGTTTGGGGTCTTTTGTGGTTCCATATGAATTTTAGAACTATTTGTTCTGTTCGTTGAAGAATGCTGTTGCTATTTTGATAGGGATTGCATTGAATCTGTAGATTGCTTTAGGCAGAATGGCCATTTTGACAATATTAATTCTTCCTAGCCAAGAACATGAGATGAATTTCCATTTGTTAGTGTCCTCGTTAATTTCTCTTAGTAGGAGTGTCCTGTAGTTTTCAGCGTATAGGTCTTTCACTTCCTTGGTTAGGTTTATTCCTAGGTATTTTATTCTTTTTGATGCAATTGTGAATGGAATTGTTTTCCTGATTTCTCTTTCTGCTAGCTCATCATTAGTGTATAGGAAAGCAACAGATTTCTGTGTATTAATTTTGTATCCTGCAACTTTGCTGAATTCCAGTATTAGTTCTAGTAGTTTTGGAGTGGAGTCTTTAGGGTTTTTTATATACAATATCATGTCATCTGCAAATAGTGACAGTTTGACTTCTTGTTTACCAGTCTGGATTCCTTGTATTTCTTTGTTTTGTCTGATTGCTGTGGCTAAGACCTCCAGAACTATGTTGAATAAATGTGAGGAGAGTGGGCACCCTTGTCTTGATCACAATCTTAAGGGAAAAGCTTTCACCTTCTCGATGTTAAGTAGAAGGTTGGGTGTGGGTTTGTCATATATGCCTTTACTATGTTGAGGTGCTTGCCCTCTATACCCATTTTGTTGAAGAGTTTTTATCATGAATGAATGTTAAATTTTGTCGAATGCTTTTTCAGCATCTGTTGAGATGATCATGTGGTTTTTGTCCTCCTTTTTGTTGATGTGGTTGATGATGTTGATGGATTTTCGAATGTTGTACCATCCTTTGCATCCCTGAGATGAATCCCACGTGATCATGGTATATGATTCTCTTGATGTATTTTTGAATTTGGTTTGCTATATTTTGTTGAGTATTTTTGCATCTATGTTCATCAGGGATATTGGTCTGTAATTTTCTTTTTTGGTGGGATCTTTGCCTGGTTTTGGTGTTAGAGTGATGCTAGCTAGCTAGCTTCATAGAATGAATTTGGAAGTATTCCCTCCTCTTCTATATTTTGGAAACACTTCCAGTACATTATTAATGGGCACACGTCTGGCCTTTGAAATAAGTGTTTGGACACTGGTAAGGTCTTGGGGCCTCTATAGACTATTGAGAGGTTATAGATTCAGCTGGCGTCATACATTTGCTTCTGCTGGTCGTTCTCTCCTTTTTATTTGAAGTTCTGTTAGAAACCATGATACAAAGGTAGACATACAAAGGTCTCAGATCCCTGTGCTCCTGCCACCTCCCCTATTAGGAGTATATTGCATGTGTTTAAAAATAGGTCTGATGAGGTAGAAGTTCTTACCTCTCAGGGTGCTCAGCAACCACAGCAGCACTTTGGCCTTAGGTTAAGCACGAGGGTACCCCTTATAGATGGCATGGTAACGTGGGAGCGCAACACCAGACCTCATAGGGGCTTTCGGTTTGGCTACCCTGGCTGCTGTGAAGGCCCTGAGGGGTAGCAAGCAAGATGAGCTGGAGAGGACTTTTCCAGCAGGCAAAGTGCCCACTTGACAGTGAAAATGTCTTCATTGGTGGCATTTAGGAAAATGTGAAAGAATGTCTCCTGATTCTATTGAACAACATAGGAAGATCAAGATCATGGCAGGTAGTGACAGGAGTTTGTTTTTGATACCATGCTCACTTTGCAAGATAAGACTGACATTCAGAATTGCCCAAGTGCTTGTTTACATCTGAACTTGTGACTAACAGGAGGTACCAGAATTGTTGGTAGCTGTCAAAGTGGCTTTTGGTGAAAATGCCCACTCTGATAATAGCGTAAACTGAGTGGTCATCTAGATGGTGCTTGCAGCCATCTTGGCAAACAGTGTGACAACAAATGAATTTGAAGTGAACAGAGGTACTTTTGGAAGTTGTCTGTCATCAGTCTTCACACTGACCCCTTAAAGGGAGGAAAATTGGTAAACATGAACACCAGCCCTGGCATGATGGCAGCTGAGTGTCTCAAAACCTGCAGCTGAGCTGGCTAGTGCTCTGATTGTAGTTATAAAATATGTGGTTTTTCATAGCCCCAGGAGCCGTGGTGGCAGTGTCTAGCTACAGTAAGACTAGTTATAAACAGTGCTTTTTGTGTATGAACAGAGAAACACCAGGAGCTGTGTTTATAATGGTAGGCTGCTTTTGTTTATGTTCTTTGGAAATTGGACAGCATTACAACAGTGTTTAATGTACATTGGTTTCATCTCCCTGCTGTTGACTACATTTGTAATGGTTTCATTTTGAGTCTAAATTGAAAAGTTGTTGTCTACCAGCTCTTTCTTAAAACTTCCAGCATCTGTCTTGTTAGAGTATACGTCCCTTCGAAAGAATTAGTTAAAACTGAGCAGCTGCTATTCAGAAAATTTGCTGTGCCTGCAAATGGTATGCTATTCAGCCATCTAGCCATTTAAAAAAACAACAAAAAACCCAGAAGATACATATTCTGTAGGCATAATGCTTTTCTTCAGTGATTAAATCTCTGTTAATAGACATGTTAATCCTATGAAGTACTGTATTTCTACACAATTAAAATGTATTAGTGGAGAAAATATAAAAGGAAGAGAGAAGTGCATTTATTCCTGTAGTAAATTAAGTCCTGATTAGCTGATTATCAAAACATTATCTGATTTACATTTCTATAGGCTTATGGCCACATGAACAGGAAATTAATTTTGGAAGAGTAGGTTCAGTAGGATTTAAAGTTCAACAAATTAGAAAACCTCATCTCTGCTCATAGTCTGACTGCTCTCCATACAGGAGAAAATCAAGCACTTGTTGACCTATCCAATATATAAAATATTCAAACTTTAAAACCAAGAACCCAAAAAAATATGTTATAAGCCTCTCATATTGTTCAGTTATTTATCATTTTTATGTAATTAACTCTGTAAAGGGACTACTATGAGAGTGGTAAGGTTTACTCTTTATACTTACATTTGGAAAGTGGCAGCTGTATGGTCACATAGCAAATGATGGCTCCTAGCATTTTCCTTTCCCGATTTATTGAAGGTGTGTTCAGTTTGGGGTAGTGGATGCTGAGCATCTTGGGGTTGCATCCGCACATCAAAAAGTAGGTTTAATCTAGCCAGGATGTTTGTTAATTTTTCTGTCTTCCATAGTTTAAAAAAGTGTGTCCTGTCCTGTCACAGTGATGGTTTCTCGCCCCAATAAGATGATGGGTAACAGAAACTTGCATTCTGCCCTTTGACCTAGCTCCATGTACTGGAGCAGGGGGAGGGGATTCCTTTTCCCATCGAATATAGCTTATTTATTTATTTGAGATGAATCCTTGTTGCCTCAAGAGTTTTCCCCCCTCAGAGATAATAGCAGTGGCTCTTGATGGATCCATTTGTTGCCGTGGTGATGTGCCCACTCCTTTTGTTGGTGCCTGGCTACTTCAATAAGCCCCTTCGTGTTATCAGCCCAGTGAAAATGTCTGCAAGTTCTTCAGAGCTAATAAACAGCGTGCATCACTCCTTTCATCTGATCACTATAGTGGGGCCTGTGAGTGAGCACGGAGCATGAATCGTATAGCTGCACTAATGGAACTCTGAAGAATGAGCCCCTGAGTCAGCAGTGTGAGTGCACAGGGGGCCGTCACCTCTTCCCCCTCGTCTCACACCCAAAGTGGTGGGCTGCAGAAAGGACCACAAATAGCTGTACCTTGTTGGACATTAGTGTATTAATCCAGCTGGGTAGCTTTTATGTGTTTCAAAATAGAATTTAGAGCTATCCTTACAGCTCAGAATGATATTTTTAAAGATAACTCAGTTGACTAAAATTGTCCTGTGTTGCCTTTGTTGTCTCCTCCTCCCCCAGGAATGAGATGGAACGGCAATTTTTGGAGCTACTTCAGTTTAATATTAATGTTCCTGCCAGTGTTTATGCCAAATACTACTTTGACCTTCGCTCCTTAGCAGATGATAACAACCTGAATTTTCTATTTGCTCCTCTTAGCAAAGAAAGAGCACAGAACCTAGAGGTAAGACTGCAAAATCACTCAGTGGGGTTTTCTGTCAGCCACCAAAGCCAACATCTGTGGCTGAAATCTCATTAAGTGTGATTAGGAAAACGGAAAGCTTCTAAATTAACACACTGAAGAGCTTAATAACCCTTTGGCATCATATTTCCTGGGTGTTTTATGATTTATACAAAGATCCACATTATTAAAATAATTACAGATATCTTCTGTGTCCATAATTCGGAATATTTTAAATCAAATTTAAAATTTAATCTGTTCTTAAGGGTCCATTTGAACCTCTACCCTTCCACATAACCATATGTGGACAATTTATTATATCTCCAATCATATCTACATACAGCCTAGTTACCACTCTTAACTGTCTTTTACTCAGTTTGCAAATTCATGTTTGTTTTCTATATATATCACAGTTCACTGCCATGAGTTTATTAGACAGTACATTAGTGGCTAATTTAGGAGAGACTTTATGTAGTTCAGATGTATAATGTGTGTTTCAAATACTGGATGTAGAAAGTATACGGATTATTAATGGAAATGGTAATGTACATAAGGCTAATATTTATGGCTTATGACTTGAATATACAGTAAAATTATTCACAGCTGAAATGGATACATTTAAAGTTGACACTTTTTTGTGATATTTCAGAATAAGACATTTTTCTACCATAATTAATGTGTAAGTGAAATTTCACCATTTGGTGCTTCAGACCTCTCAGAGCTTCCAATAAAATGCAGCACACACCTGCCTCATTAAAATTTGCTTGGAGTGTATAGTAACTAATGAGGACTGGGTAGAAGTTGACTAGCTAAAAAACACTGATTTCCCCAAGTGTACGTGTGATATGGGAACAAGTGTACAGGTAACAACAGATGATACTGCTGTCAGGAGCCTGTCACAATACCTTGGACACCATTGGGAACCCAGTTTTTAAGTAACTAGGTTCCTCCTTGGCCTGGCTACCTAATCATAGCCCTGAAAGGATACCACCTGAGTGAGCTGGCAGAGAAGTAGCACCCCAGAACCTGGGAGTGTGGACCTCAGCCATTCAAAGTAGCACAAGCTATGACCTGCCTAAAGGAGTGGATGTGTGGCTTATCAATGATGCTTTTTTTTTTAAGGTTGAAACACTTTTTTTTTTCCTTAATTGAACCTGTGTTCTATTTGATTGACTCTCCCAGGCCATTTCCAGATTGTGTGAAGACAAATACAAAGACTTGTGTAGAGCTGCTATGAGAAGGTCTTTCAGCGCTGAAAACGTCATTGGTGTTCGGCACTCTAATGCCATCCTCTCTTAAGGGAGAAGTAAGGGGTTGTAACGTCTCAAACCCCACATCTACAAGACTGTGGAAATGTCACCTCTCCTGCTCAAAAACCAGCAAAAATAGTATTTTCACCTAAAAGAAAGACCTCTAATTCAAGAGACTGTTGGACAGGAAGCACTGTGTTCACAGGAAAGAATGGGACCTTGTCAATGCAACACACTCTTCTGTCCTTTTTAATGTAAACAGAGTTACAAAAACCACTCCAGAGTGATAGCTCCCAACCCACACACAGATATTTGCTTACTATGTAGGCTGATAACTGTGAACCATATGAGGTTTTTTTAATTAATAGTTTAAATTTTTAGACTTTGAAAACACTAACTATATAACTTCTATGTTTTTCCTATTTTTCTTGCCCCTGTTCATTTCTATTTTCCTATTTTATTTGCCCCACCCCAGTATTGCTGCATATTCCTATAGAATCAATGCAGTATTACCATTAAAAACATGGGACTCCTAATAACTCATGAAGCCACTTAGGAACAGACAGTAGCATTGTTAGGAATTGAAGAGTTTTTCCTCCCTATTATATCATCAAAGCTGCCAGTCATTATTAGCAATCAGTTTAAACCAAAAAGCTGCTGAATAAACACTTGTCATTCAGATTCTTTGCAAGCACTACTTATTTGCCTATTGCCAAGTTTGGGATCATAAACAGAAAGTATCAGTTATTGTCTGCTTTTGGGTCCATGCTACATTTTTTGTGAACTATAATGGTGCTTCTCATTTTCTGATGATTTTCCTCTCTGTTAAATACATGTATTAAGAGCTATTTTTGTGATTCCAACCAACATGGTAGTCCAACAGTAACGAGCAGGTAGTGAAATAGAAGGTGTCCTGCCAAGTCTCAGTGAAATTTTAAGCTTTAATATATATATGATGTGCTTGGGCCCTTCAGGCATTGCTGAAGAAGTACAAATGCTACAACTTAGAAAACATCACTGCAAAGGTTAGTTACATTTCTTTTAAACTTACTTGGTTTTGTAAATTTTAAACACTAAGCTTTCAATTTTAACTTTTTGTTTCAGTCCCTCTTCAAGATGGCAAACATGGGCTGAAACAAAATTAAAATTACGAGCTTAATATTTAAAATTTACAAAACTAAGTTAAAAGAAATGTAACTAACCTTTCCAGTGATGTTTTGTAAGTTTGTAGCATTTGTACTTCCCCAAGTCTCAGAACTCATACCCTACTAGTAAGCCTCTAGGGATACCTTCTGTCTTTATGGGCATGCCCATAGGCAGGCTGTTTACCTACTTTTATCGCCTAAGTTTACTTTTTCTACATCTGGTAAAGGAAGATTATGAAGAGCAGTGTTAATTCACATGTAATAAATTGAAAGGAACTGGATCCTAGTAGCAGTGACATGAGAGTAGATGATATGAAACAGCTTTTCTATCCTATGTGTCAACCTGGTTGTGGGCATCTCACTGTGGGCTTTTTAAGAGGAGACATAAACCTTAGGAACCTTTACCTCATGCTTTAAAGGACAGAGAGTAAGTAATCACATTTTTAGGAGATAGGTAGCATCACCAAATTTGAAATAGTAAAAAAAGATTAGTGTTCTCACTATATAAAACTTTTCTCCTAACTTCTCCAATGTAATCCTAGGAATTTTGCGTACTGTAAACAAAGCATTTCTGGGCCAGGAATACTTTTTCAGTATAGCAAGGCTTCACATTGTATTGAGTGCTGCAGGTTCCATCATTTTTAAAGGACAGAGACATAAATGGCAATGATATATAAAATATTACAATCTACCACCTCAAAAAACATTCTTTATGGAGTTCAGAGCCTGGAGATTCAAATATTGATTGCAGTTTTATTTTGAAAACAATGCTACAACTTATTTGGTTTTTCTTCCTCATGTTTATATTAAAAGAAAAGCTAATAAACTCTATTTTAATTAAAATATGGTTAGAATGTTTGTAACACTTTTCTTGATTCACTTAGCATTACATCTCTGCCTAACTTTTTTCAGTAAGCTAATGATACATGACCATTTATGAGTTGGTTTGACCACTACTAAAATGTAGTGATTTATTTCTTTGGTAATGCTCTCTTCAATGAAAATAATTTAGTATGCTTAAAATCACTGGCCACAGTACTTAGGGGCATAGTGCATTAATTAGATGGCATCTTTGAATAGTCATTATTGTGCCAAGATAAAATTAGGTAGACTATGCCAGGAGAGGAATTACAGGAATACTGTGGAATCAGAATGTGAGTATTTGAGGATTTTAAGTAGTTACACAGGAAAGAAAATGGAAGATCAGGGAACTAGAATTATGGCTGCTGTGAAGAGAAGCAAGTCACATAATTTGACTTTAAAATGCTGTCTTCAAACTTACATTTCCATTAGAAATATACCAAATTTCTGTAGGTTTCTTTAAATCTAAAGCCATAGTCACTCAGCTTGCGTAACAGTAAATCCTGACAGTATTGCTGTATTTTCATCCACATTAATTTACTACCTAAGGTCAAAACTTTAAGTGATCACTTTATTCTTAATAAGTTTCTGACTAGGACAAATGATTGAATTTAGTTTAGAAGGAAAAAAAAATCACAAACCACTCATTTATAAGATAGTTTGCACCCTATAGTAATATGCTAGTTACTAAGTAGAAATGTTGATATATATGAGTAGTCAGAGGTTAGAAAAAACATTTGGGAAGGGACACTGGACATGACTCTAGCTTAAAAACAAGTTGGTAGGATAAGCAGAATCACTAGCAATTGCTCTTTTCCCCTTTAGCTTCAATGCTAGAAAGCAATACAGCCATTATGATAAATGGGAAATTGAGTCAACCTTGGGTAAAAATGTAAACATTACTAAAAATAGGTTCTTTGACAAATGTCCTGGGGCATGGGAACTATAGGGTGGTAACTGGCACTTTTCTCAGGGTTTTATACTTAGGAAGGGCTTGTTCCCTAAAGTAGTAAGACTATAAAAGACTATCTGACATTGCTTCAGTTCAAAATTTACTTTCATTTTTAGTTTTTCTCCTCAATGAAATTTTAACTGGCATATTGTGAACTGAAAATTTTTAAGTATTGTTTCTTTATAAGGAAAAGACAGGTCTGAAATACATGTTTAGATCAAATTAAATTGCCACTTTTATAGATTAAAAGTGGTTGCCTATCATAATTTCATATGGTTCACCCTAAAACAACTATATAGGGTCCAGTGTTTCTGGTCAGAGAACAGTGGCCCTTTCACATTTACTTTTACTGGATCCCAAATGCCCAGACATTACTGAAATCCAACAGGAGTGAATCCTGGTTTTATGACAGCTCAAGGTTCATTTTCATTTCTTGATTTAGTTTCCCTATAACTATAAATACTCTATTCCTGGATTTTAAAAGTGCCGAAGCCAGTACTTTCTGGAAAACAATTCACCCTGTATTCAGGTTATGCAATGTTTTTGGAAAAGTAGCTACAGCTTGTAGGCTAGCTCAAATCTTTCATCACCCAAGCCTTCTAACCACATATAAAATGACTATGACTGTTCCCTTACCCAGAAGCTGCATTCTTGACTACAGAACTACTTGGAAAAGCACTTGACACCTGGCAGAGACTCTCCCAGGTAAGTGCTAGCTTTTATGCAGAATCTGCAGATCACACCCAGCATCTATCAAGTTAAGGATTATGTTACCTAAAGTCTTAACTGTTAGCCACTTAACTGGCCAGATCCGCTGATGTTGCGCCAGCAAGAGTACAAAAGATCCAGAAGCCCTTTAGCAAAGCCTGTTCCCCTAATGCAAAGGTGTAATCTGTTTGGTTTCTGAGGCAAATTCCACTATTCTAACTGGGTTTGGCAGACCAGACATGTTTTTAATGTGAAACAAATTTTAAGAATACTAGTTTGTGGTTTAGGATCTCTCTGGTACAGAAAGAACTAGGAAAGTAAAACAGTATCCAAATTAAGAGGAATCTCCAATCCAGTGAAAAAGGGTCAACATTCTTTTAAAAAGGAGGTTAAGAGATGACTGTAACTGTTGTCACAGGGAGCTGATTAGAGAAATTCAGTGACAGCCTCCAAGTCTACCTCTTTGAGAATATCAATAGAAGCTATTTCAAGACCTCCACCTACTCTGCAAGCTTTTTCTTAAAACACTGTTCCTTCTTAGCATTCTCAGTTCTACAGCTTTTACTTACCTCTAGCCCCTTAAGTGGTGGCCCCTTTATTGCCTCACAGTGGAAACTGAAAAAGGCAGAGGCCCACCTCCTACTGCTACTAGGGGCCCACCCTCAACAAGATCCTCTCAGCCTTCCCCCCTTAGACCATTCTGCTAGTGCCCAATGTGGCAGTGCCTGATGTCTGTTACTACTGGGACACGTTTGCAAATCATCATCACCAGATTCCAGGAAATGCAGGATTTATGTGGCTCACAGGCTAACTGTCCCCTTGTTATCTTCTTTAGCCACCTGTTTGAGCCCTCCTGTGCTCCCCAAAGCAGGGTCCCCTATTTCACTTGCTGACTGCTCTGACCTGCCCACAACCTTAAATGTATCTATCTCCTTAGTCTAGGCAGCGCCACCACCCTTCCAAACTCCAAAACTCACTTCATCTAGCATTAGGAATATGCCTTACTTCTTAAGGTAACCTCTCTCATCTAATGAAGGGAATTCTATTCCACAGTCTCTTATACCCACCCCCTCTGCCTATTTATTCCCTTCTGCTCCAAAATTGCATCCATCTCCCTAATGTAGGCTGGGGCTTTTTGACCTTGCTCAGTTCTACACATGCCCTAGTGTTTCTCAAGATGTGGTCCCCTGACTACATACCTTTCACCAACTGAAAGTACATACGAAAAACAAAGATTCTCTATTGTGGAATCCTGGAATAGATAAAGAACATTAGTGGAAAATCTGGTGAAATCCAAGTGAGGTCTGGAGTTAAAAGTGATGCGTCAATGTTGACTTCTCATGTTTTGACAGAGGTACTATGTAATATGTTAACATTAGGGCAAAAGGGGCAAGGGGCATACAAGAACTATGAGTTACACTTGCAACTTTTCTGTAAGCCTAAAATAATTCCAAAGTAAAGTTTACTTAAAAAAAAAAAAGTTTATCCGGCCCCAGATCTACTGAATCTCAGTTCCTGGAGCTGAGGCCTAGGAATCTACATTTTTAAATAGGGACCCCGAATGATTCTTATGCAGACTCAAATTTGAAAACCTAGTCTTTCAATTCTTTTTCCATTTCATGCCAGAACAGCTGCTTGCCTCCTTCCTGTATTTACCTTAACTCAGCCTTAACCTGATTTAATCCTTTAGATCCTCTTAACTCTAATAGGTACTATTATTATTATCCCCTTTTCACAGATGAGAAAACTGAAGTACTAGAAGGTTAAGTAGTATGTCTGGGATCACACAGCCCTTAAGTGGTGGTAGAGCTGGGATTTGAATCCCTAGCAGTCTAGCCCCCAAGTTTATGAGCACAACCCTCTACCGCCTCCCAATCCTGTTTCCATCAGTAACAAAGAGCTTGGTAACTACATCCCTAGAAGGAGCATTACCAGTACTCCTCTGGTTACACCTTTTTCTCCAACCTGCTAAGTCCTTATGGTCCTGTTGTGGACTATGGCTCTAGCTTGTGACTTTGCCCTTTTCCCCTTTTCCACTGGAGCAATGAGAAAACACTGGGAAGATGGTCCAACTAGAGTCCTGTACATGTAAAGGTACAGTTGCTCTTCCTTCACGATCCAGCTCAACTACTGTATTTTCTATTCTTTTTCTTCCAACTGCCCAAACTTGTATACCAATCTAATAATGTTCATTGACATTAAATTACATACTCTCATATTGTCATTCACCTCTTAATGGATTTGTCTTATCTTTCCCAAACAACATGTTGAACTCCTAATTACCATATTCCAGCACATACTTAGGCCTCAGAGCCCTGCTGGAGAACACTGACACTGACATGCTACACATTAACACAAGGTGGTTGGTAGACCAGCGACCAGTCTGCATTTTGCCAAAGCAGCAATCAGTAGAAATTACTCTGACAACAGTATCTGTCTAGATTATCAAGGAAGTATCAACTCCGAATCAATTTTATATCCTCTTATCTGGGCTCCCTGACTTGTACCGAGAGCTTAATACCAAGTTGTGGATCTAGCTGCTGAATGATCAAGTTTTGGGAGTTTCTGTCCCCCAACCAGACAGAACAATAGCACCACCTCTATTCAAACAGGTTCAGTACGGAGTAGAGAGTTGATACAACAGGACAGGACACAATCTCAGGCATTATCTCCGTTCTTACGTGTATTTCTCTTCATTTCTTCAAGTGAATCATGAAACAACCACAGGATCGGCAGGATAAACCTATGAAGTATATCCAAGTAAGACATGTTTTCATTAGTTCTGCTTCTGGCAAATGGAATTTGTTTGATCATCTTAGTAATAAAAACATTGCCACTTATATTTTAAGTACATCGGAGAAATTTGATCATGAAGTTAGAATCCACATATTTCCTCATACTCTTAGAAAGCAGTGTGTGTCTCCATGAAGGTGTGAGGAGAAAAAAAACGTCTACAGCATCTTTTTATTTTCTTTATCATTGCTTTAATGCACTTTAAAATTTATCTACAGTAAGTGGGAACAAAGAAACAAAAATAGACATTTCTTTGTCATAAATAACTACTCTGTATTTGATAAAAATCTCAAATCATTATTTTACCTTCCCACAAATACATACAAATTTTTTTCTGAAATAATGTCAGCAAATTAAGTATTTGAGACTAACATAACCAACCACAACTGCTGTTCTACTCATTCCCAGGAACAAACAAAAACAAAACTTCTTACCAAGATGCTCTGGGTTTTCTTTTGTTAATGTTATGGATTTTGAATTATAATCATCTACCAGTAATAATTTATAGATTCAAGTTGATTGTCTACAAATAAAATATCACTGGCTCTGATTCGGTAGTTCTGGATTGGACATGCTAGTGATGATATTGCATGATAGGCACTAGACATATATGGAAATCATTAAAAAGTATTGAATGCCCTGGACTCAAACCACTGACTCGGTATGTGCCTCATTTGGCTCAGTAATAAATTCACCTGCACCAAACCCGTATCAAAAGTCACTAAATCTTTCATATATATAATATATATTATGTATATATACACCCACAGCACATACATACTATACATACAGTTTGTAACAACACAAAATAATATTGTCTTAAAATAAACCATAGACAGTATCCTGGCTGAAATCAATCCTGTATTTGTCATCAAGCTGTTAGAAGCCTTTGAGAGTTCCAAGTCAGGTTACTTAGTTATTTACAAACTGCCTGCTTTCATCCTGCTTTAATGTTTTTGTTAACTTCTCTTTCAGAACCACCCTCCCACCTAGGCACATTTCTTCCCCAGGATCACTTAGACTTGAGAGGCAGAGAGCGCAGGCAGAGGACGCAGGGAGTTCTCAGCCACTGCACCTCACCCCAGCCTCCAGCTGTGATGTCCTCAGTCCTGTTGGCCACATTTGGTGTTAGGAAGCAGTTACACAAAGCTTTGTCCCTCCTACCTCCCTTGGTCTTTCTGTGGAGCACAAAAGGTAAAGAAGCCTCTTTAGCAGGGGTAGAAGTTAATTAAAATATATAACTCTATTTCCTAGCTCAGGGGTTCCCCTCCCATGCTCCAGAGTGCAGGTCATGGCTGCTGTTAGTGAGGGTCAAGGTGGGACCCATGAGGTTTTCTCCTGGCAGTCAGTGTCAGGATCAGTGCAGCCCTGGCCCAGAAGGAAACAGCCTAATGAATACCACTTGGAAACAGTGCTGCTGGCACATTTTTTAAGCTTGTACATACATACACTATTAACACACAACACACACACACTGGAAATGGTTACATGAAGATATGACAAAGGGTTTGCAAGGATAAACCAATAAGGCACCAAGAAAAATAATTTTCAGCCAGTTTAGACAACTTCAAAATGTGAGGAGGTTAGTAACATAAATAAAAAAGACTTCCTAAAATCTGGTCAACTGATCACAGAAAGGTCACATTAATTCCTTTAGACAAGCTTTTAAATCTTTGCCCCCTAATCTATCAAGTGACATTGCTTAAATCTGAGCCATGAGAGGGACAGCCCAGAAGCTGTACAAGTGAGACTAAACTGGGCCCTAAAGCCTCTGCAAATTCACAGAGCTGGCTGTGGCAAAGTTGCTAAACCACTCCACCACCTTTCATTTTAAAACTGTTTTCTTAAGTATGGATTATTTGCATCATAAAAATGCAAATAGGGAAAATCTTGTGTGCGCACGCACTTGCGTGTATGCGTGTGCACACATGCCACACACATAGTAATAGGGATGACCATAAATAGGTCTGGCTTCTCTAAGCGCGTAGGGGATGGGGTGGCTGATATTAGTAAGACTTCACGGGCGCAGGTGGGCTCTATCTTTTGAGGGGTTAGGGGGAGTCAGGGTGAGAACAGAGACTGAAAACAGGTAGCTCTGGAAGCTGGTCTGCAACTAGACCCCAAAAAATATTGCCTATATTGTCTCTCCTTGGCTTAGTATACCCTTTTTGTCTTAACTTTTTTTTTAAAGGTAAATTGGTTGTTCTTTTTAAGTTTGGTATGTTGCCAAAATGAAAAAACAGTTCTTTAAAACAAAGAAATTACTTCATCCCAGTACTTTTAGATACACTATGCATCGTTTCTAGATTCCTCCACAAAGAAAAAGAAGAAAGGGGACAACCAAAATTAAGCACATTGACTGAAGGCAGCAGAACAATCTATGTGCCTTCTGGGAAGACATACTAAATGAGGGAAAGGTCAAGGTGCTCAGAGAAGTTCCTCACTTGAAAAACAGGAGAGGGATTGGCCCTCAGACAAGGGAATCTATTTCAAGGTTCTAAGAAGCTTCTGAATAAGTAGAGGAGTAAGATTTGCAAAAAGTTCTGTAGCTATGTGTATTAGGTTTTGTCAAATCCACTCAAATTTTAACTTAGATTCCAAGCATGAGTGTGTAAGCGCAGTGCATTTTTTAATAAACGTGAATTGCTTTTGAGAGTCCTTAAAACTAATAATACCAGGCTTCCCCCCACCAGAAAAGCATTTAAATCCACTACAGGAACTGTGCATTTGTTTACTTAGCACCCATGAACTGAAAATTGACCTGGGTTTAAATCTGACTTTTCCAACTTTAGTATAACTGAAGCACAAATGTCTAGACTGGTTTTCTAGGGAGGCATTCTCAAATTTTAGTTGCTTTAGCCATTTTAGCTCCCTAAACTTAATCTCCAATCCCTGGTCATTGATACTGTCACCCTCTCTTCCCCAGTCACAGCCTCACACTCTTCACGAAGGAATGGTTAAACAGATTAGGTAAGCAAACAGTTCTCTAACAGCAGTGTGTGTGCATGCACATGTGTGTGCGCATCAATATCCAGGCTTCCTCAGAAAAAGAGTAAAAGGAAAATATAGTGAGGTAGGGTAGCGGTTCACTATCCCTACTTTAAAAGCTTATGCAGGTGTGTTATTTGTGAGGGTCTTATTTGTTTTCAGAGACTGCAGAGAACAAGGTCTTGCTGCTTTGGGAATATCTGGCTACAAGCTAGTCCAAAGTCCAGGGACACTTATTTTCCCTCATTGCTGCCAATGTTTATTCACAGGTAGCCAGCCTCCCTCCCCCCAGTTCACGCACCTCATTCAGGGTGGGTGTGGTTTCTAATCACAGCGCTCCAGGAGAGGAGAAATAAGAAAAGCAAAAAGACTGTTTAACATGATAAAAGAGGTGGGATGGGGTGGAGCAGATAAGAGAAGTGTTAGAAATTTATCACTGGAGGTTTATCCCGTTTAGTCCTTCCATCTAAAAAGGAGCTCCTTTTCAGAAAAAGGGAGTGGGTTTACCTTCAACAAAATTATAACACAAGTTATTATTTTTTAAAAATTGGGATCACTGAGGCTATTAAGAAACACCCACTCCTTCTGTGTAACAAAGCTGCCATCTTAACAGTGTAGAATTCAAGCTCAACCAGTTACCATCCCCTAGGTCCTCACGATTCCAAATATTTATACTAGACACTCTATAATGCTACCTCTAACTTGTGCAAGATAATTCTGGTGCTGTTAAGAATGATAATTATGACACATACGACAGAAAAGAAACTGAGAATCGATAAAGCTAGGATGAACACAGTCACTAGTAGGAGATTATTCCCTAACCTTGTCACTCATGGGAGTCCATAACTGCCTTATGCTCCCCCTCCTTGGTATGATTTGGGGTCTCCCCTAACTCAGAACCTATAAACAGGGACAAGCTGCTCACCTTAAAACATCTTGGACACTTGAGCAGTGGAAGGAGAAACGAGCTGAAAAGCACACTTGTCAACCTCCCAGTCATGCAACCTCAACTTTCACTGTTCACATTTTTTTTAAACAGACACAAATATAGGAAATATATTTTCCCAATTTAGACCACACAGTTCACAGAAACCTGAACCCAGTGGAACTTCATTATAATGCCAACCTTAGGTTTGTAAAGCCCCGAAATCAAAGATAAATTTTGCTGCCAAAATGCAACAAAGTTAAAAATTAAGAAAACAACATATAAATTAAAAACAGGTTCCCCTAAAAAAGGCAGTAAGAGACGTAAAATAGAATACACGTGAGCTGAGCCCCTTTGAGAAGTCCTGGGACTGAAGCTCCCTTGGAACGGCCCCTTTCCCCTCTCTCCAAGTTGCCCCAGGAGGGGGCATCGGCACCAGGAAGGTAAACGGAAGTGAACTTGGCAAAGCTACCAAACAAAACACGCCCTCCCCCCCAACTCCCGGCTTTCCGCGGCCTCCGCCTCCTACACGTGCGACAGGGACACCTGCTTGTGGTAGGCGGCCGTGGCGGGGCCCACCGGCCCGGTCCTACCCGTGAGCGCTGCGCTCGCCTCGGCATAGTCCGCGGTGGCCGTGGCGCCGCCGCTCTTGTGGCCCCGCCGCGGGCGGCAGCAACAGCGGCTGGTGAAGCGCCGCCACGACTCCACAGTCTTGCCGGACCAAATCCAGACGCCCGACGTGATGCCCACCACGAGGCACATGAAGTACTTGAGCATGAGCACCCAGTACTCGGGCTTGGCGCGCGGCTGGCCGGCGTCGGGGCCGGGGCAGGCGCAGGTGAGCGCAGCCTCCCAGCTCTCGCGGTAGTGCTGCTCGTACAGGTAGCAGGCCACAACGATGCTGGCGGGCACCGTGTAGAGCAGCGTGAAGATGCCGATGCGGATCATGAGCTTCTCCAGCTTGTCCGTCTTCGTGCCTCCCTGCTTGATGACGCTACGGATGCGGAAGAGCGACACGAAGCCCGCCAGGAGGAAGAGCGTGCCCACCAGCAGATAGAGGACCAGCGGGCCCAGCACAAAGCCGCGCAGGGAGTTCAGGTTCTGGTTGCCCACGTAGCAAATGCCGGCTACCGGGTCCCCGTCCACAGAGCTCAGTGCCAGCGCCGTGATGGACTTGACGCTCGGGATGAGCCACGCGGCCAGGTGGAAATACTGCGCATAGCCCGCGATGGCCTCATTGCCCCACTTCATGCCAGCCGCCAGGAACCAGGTGAGCGACAGGATGACCCACCAGATGGAGCTGGCCATACCGAAGAAGTAGACCAGCAGGAAGACGACAGTGCACAGCGCCGGGCCCGTCGTCTCATAGTGAATGTGGCTGTGCTCGCGGCTGCAGGCGACGCTGGCATGGCCCACGACCAGGCGCACCAGGAAGCCTAGCGACACGCACAAGTAGCAGGCTGACAGGAATATGATGGGGCGCTCAGGGTAGCGGAAGCGTTCCATGTCTATTAGGAAAGTGGCCACGGTGGTAGAGGTGGAGATGAAGCACAGCACAGACCACAGGCCAATCCAGAAGGTGGCGAACGTGCGCTCGTCGGGGCTGAAGGAAGGCTGGTAGCACGGCACCGCGCAGTTGGGCACCTGGCCCGTCCGTACCTTGTTGTAGAGCGGGTGCGATTCCTTCAGAATGGGCACGAAGGGTTCACGGCACTTGCACACCGACGGGCCCCCGGCAGCGCACTCGCTCCCAGAGGCCGGCACCCCCGGCGGGCCTGGGAGGGTGGGCTTGGCGGGGAAGGGCCTGGGGGGCGCTGTAGTGGCCTCACTGCGGTTGTAATCCATGCACAAGACCTCGGCGTCCCGGCCCAGCACCGGAAGGCGGTCGCAGCTCATGCGCTCCGGCCAGGCGAAGCCGTACTGGCGCATGAGCGGCGAGCAGCCGGCCTTGGCGCGCTCGCACACGGAGCGGCAGGGCGGCAGCGGCTTATGGTAGTCCGGCAGGCAGATGGGCGTGTACATGGAACACAGGAAGAAGCGCAGGTCCGGCGAGCAGTGGATCTCCACCAGCGGCCAGAACTGGTGCACCTCCAGGCCCGCCTCGTCCTGCGTGTCGTGGTTGAACTGGTTGGGCATGTGGGTCAGGTTGTAGCCGATGCCGCGACACATGGGCACCGTGATTTCCTGGCACACAGGGGCCTTGGAAGCGGCCGCCGCCCGGCCCACCAGCTGCGCCAAGAGCAGCAGGAGCAGCGAGGGCGGCGCGCACGGATCGGGCCGAGCCATAGCCCCCGCTGCCCTCGCCTCCCACAGCCCGCGCGGGGCCAGAATGGGCAGGGGAGACCGGGGCCGGCGCTTCCCCTCCGCGGACTCGCGTTGCGGCACCGGGGCGGGCAACCTGTTGGCCTCTTTTCCTCTTGAAGAAGTCCGTCGCACGACAAACTGTTTCGGGAAGGCGCTGCTTCTGCAGGCGCGTTCAGCACTGCGCCGGATAGGGCTGGGGAGGGACGGTTAGGGCTCCGATTCCAGGGAAAGTACTCTTTAAAAAAGAAGGCGGGGGAGAAGAAAAATTGCAACCACTCCCAATTAGAGGGGCGTCAACGGCTTAGGCCCCACAAGCGGTCTCCAGATCTCTAAGTTAACGCTAACTCTTCCCTCCCCCCAGCTCCTGGAACCAAACTCCAGACTCCCTTCTCTGCTCCCCGCCTCCCTCCCCTCTGGGCCCGCCAGGCTGTATCTCAGAGTGCGGGCGCTCAGCAGCCCCCAGAAAAGGGCAGAGGGCTCGGGAGAAGAACGAGAAGGGGAAGGCGCGGGCTCTCACCTCCGCGGATCCCGAGAGACACAGTCCGCAGCCAGCCTGGGTAGTCCGCCGCTGGGACACTCTGCTCAGGAACGCGACTCAGACCCCGGCTGGCTCCGGGAAAGTTTGGCGATAGGCTGGGTACTGAGATGGCGGCACATGGCAGCAGGTGGGGGCGTCTCAGAGAGGGGATCGCCCCCACAACGAGGTCGCCGCAGGCCGGCCGCTAGCCCTCTCCTTCTCCGGGGCCCCCCGCATGATCCGGGAGGGGCAGGGAAGGAGCAGGCCGTGCGTTGTGCCGAGGGCAGGGAGCCGGACGAAGGGCGATCGTGCCTGGCAGCACCTGGGCGAGAGTAAGGCGGTGTGCGGCGGCAGGAGATCCCGCCGCCTCACAGCACCGCGCGCAGCCGGCGCTGGCCCTGCCGGGACTGCATGGTGCGCACCCGCCGCCGTGTCCCGTTCGCTGCTCGCCTCTTCCCCTGCAGGGGGCTCCGCGCTCCAGCGGACTCCTGGGGGCGGTGGCGGCTCTCCCAGGACGCGCCTGGCTCGGCTCCTCCCCCGCGCTCTCTCACCCTTTCGCCCACCTCAGGCGGGCACTGAACGGCGCGCGGCGAAGACGGCCGCGGAGTCACGGCCGCGGGCTAGACTAGGCTCTCCCACCCCTCCCGGGTCACCTGCCTCTAATGCCCGCCGGGAGGCCCCGCCCCGGCCCCTCCCACTGCGCTGGGGCTCGGCTGGAGGGCCGCCCCGCCACGCTCTCCACGCGTCCCCGCCCACTGCCCCGCGGGCCTGGCGCCCTCCTGCCCCGCCCGGAGCGGGCTGCCGAGGAGCTCGGGCCAATCTCAGGCCTGGAAGGGACGGAGGCGGGGCGAATGCTAATCTCGCCTTGAGATCTGGGGCGGGAAACCCACGCTGGAAGTCCCTTCTGCGTGGTCTGCCGGCGCCCGCGGGTTGGGGTTCGCCTTCCTACATGCAACCTTGTGGTTTATGGACGCTTGTTTCCGGGGCCCCTACCAGGTCTCTGTGCTGCCAACCAACCTTACCAGAGCTCAGCGTTTGAAACAACTGCTCAAAGAATTACGCTTAACGGCGGCACCTATCTCCCCTCTGCACTGTCCTCTTACCAGGTGAGCTCAAGTTGAGAGCAGAGCGACTTCTAATTGAGACCTTACTGCTTGCGGGACAGCGTATTAATCGTTTACGTCCGTCTTAAGACAAGATCTCAGATCCTTACAACTTTATGAGGCAGGTACTCCTTACGGGTGATGGAGTTTAGAAATTTGACGAAGTTCCCCAAGAAAGCCGCAAACTAGACAATCTTGTTTATCTCGGTATTCCGGGCTCCTGGCACATAGTCGGCACTCAAGTAGCAAACCTAAGATTCGAACTCAGGTAGTTGGGCCGTGGCATCCACAATTTAAGCCACTCTCCCCAATACTGCCCGTAACCCCCAGGCTTCAACTTTTGCTTTTGCATTTCGTAACAAAATCTTGTAACAAGAAGGTGATTTTCTTTCTGTGTTTGGAAGACTCGAGAGATGTCAGTCCTTTATCAGTCAAGGTTTTAAAATCCAAGGCAGTTCCGAAGTCGCCCGCAGAGAGAAGCAGAGCTGGCTCGGGGCTCTGCAAAGGGCAGGCGCCAGGCCCCTGGGGCTGCCCGCTGCTCGGCCGCGCACTCGCGCGCCGCCGGGCCGCGGGAAGACCTGCTGGGCGCCGGGACTGCTGGGACACACCGCGGCGCTCTCCAGATAGGTTATTCTGCATGTTTTAAATGTCCTAAAAATGCTTCTTTTCTACGTGTTCTAATTAGGGTGGAAGACTGAGGTGGTTAGCATTCCTGAAATTCATTCACACGCTTACAAAGAGGGTTTGAATTGTTTCCCACTACCCCACCCCTTCCTTCCACTGGGAAGAAGGCGAAAAAGGCAGGAGGGCCTGGGGACTTGAAGGACTTAGGACCAGAAGAAAGGGCAGAGACAGACGGCAGTTACTGTCTTCCTATTATTCTCGATCCCATTTGTAGAGACTGGGAGACTGTTGCACAACAGCCTTCTCCCTCCTGCTTATCAACAAGGCTTTGTGGGAAATAACAAAGAGTATGTGTATGTCGATCCTAGCCTCAAAGTTAAAAGGAATAAATACCAAACGCTTCACAAACATCAGGAACTGTTAATAAATATGTTTAAAATGTACATTACCTCTTTCATTCCCTGGAATTCTACAGGTGTTCATATTTTATTTCTTTTGTCCTTTGGAAGTACTTGGCACTCTGGGTCGGCGAACATCCAGGGTTGAAAGTAGTGGGAGTTGACAGCGATGGAATAGCAATCAGAAAGAAAGGGAAACCCTCAGTGGAAAGTATGTACACTGTGAACATGCCAAGGGAGGGCTGTCTCATTCTGTGCCCTTTATGCAACGTGTGTATTAGTGGGGATGGACAAGTGTTGGCTAATAATAAAAATTATTTGAAGTTGGAGAATGCTAATCACTCACACTGGAATTTAGCCAGAATATTTGTGTTATTTCACTTTGTTCTGACTCCAGTGATGTTATCTACTTATTTGTAAACCTCTCTCTTTGAAATCAACGGTAAAATGTTATTTTTGCTTGGAGATGTCTAATAATAGCAATAATAACAGCAGAAAACTATGCCGAAAGAGATTTATTTTGCGTTGTATAGTTTTTGTATCATTTACATTTTTGTTTTTGTTTGCATATATTACCTCAGTTTAAAGGCAGTTTAAAATATGTTCACTGTTTAACACATATTAGGCTGCTAAATAATTCATTTACATTAGCTCATATAATCCTCAAAACAGATAAAACTGGCATCTATAAAGACTTGTTTGAAGTTACTTATTTAGTCCATGGGAAGGATAGAAATCAAAAGTTTCTCCTGAGTCAATTTATTATTCAACAAACTAGAGAACACTAAATTAGTTTTTGAGATGCAATTTTTAAGCATCTACAACATTAAAGCATTCTTATCTGTTGTCCTTCTATGTGGGCATCCATCCATCCCACAAACACTAAGTTTCTCAACTAAAGACACTCACTATTGCTATATTAAACATGTTTCTACAAAGCCAAATTCATGAAATTCAACTTAATTATTGTCCAACGGGTGTTTATTAATTGATGAAAATACAGAGATAATGCTAAACATTCTATCTAGTAAAGGTGATATTCTAAAAGTTTTGAAACATTGGTTTTGGATTTTTGTCAGGGAATAGTTACAGCATTTTTAATCTCACTGGACTTGTGTTGATTATACATATATTATTATGTTAAGATGAATGGACATGTAGCCTTTGTTAACTCTTCAATATATTGATAATCAAGCCTGAAACAGTATGCTGCACATAGATGCTTTCGATGAATATTTGTGAAATAAATGAATGAATGGATGGGAGCTGAGGTGAACTTTTTAAACTTTAGCAACTGGCATTGAATCCTTGAATACAGTGATTCAGTTACACATACAATTATACATACAATTATGAGCTATACCTCCCAGGTTGATGGTAACCTGCTAAATGCCGAAGAGTCTAAACGTTGGCTCTGCCTTTACTACCTGTGCCCCTTGGGCAAATCACCTAACAGCTCCAGTTGTCTTTCCTGGTCTGTAAAATGGACTTAAGAATAGTTACCTCCTGTCAGAGCTGTAGTGAGGTGTAAATGAATTTGTATGGTAAAGGGCTTAGAACTATGTCTAGCAACTCGTAAGTCTATGTAGGTGTTAGTTATTATTATTAGTTTCTACTATGGTTCATTCTACTTTTCTGATTTCCCAATCTTCTATATTTTCTTTTGTATGTTACTTTAATAAGAGAACAAAAATAGCTACATTTTTAGATGTACTTTATGTCTAAGTGCACTCTCAGCTGTCACCAGCTATCTCTAGTATTTAGATATTAGCTAAATATTATGCCAAAGCAGGAATCATTTTATTTTCCCAGATCAAAGTGTGTACACCTGACCTCAGCAAGCAGCCCATGTGTGTGCAAGCACCCAGAGTTCTGGTGCAGTATAGATGGACAGAGGCCAACACGAATCCCACACAGGCATCTCCAGACTAGCTCCTCACATGTCCTAGAGCACTTCTCCTTCTCTCATTAGATCAGACACTTCCAGACAAGAAACCAAGACAACAACCAGAGGATTAAAATGATGGGTCGTTTATCCAGGTTCGAATGTCTTGTTCACATTGTAAGTGGAATAACTCAACTATAATCTTTAGTCCTCTCCCTCCCTCACCGTGGTGGAGATTATAGGAAAGTAAAAGCTTCTTTCTTTTCATCCAGAGGTAATGGAAGTGCTAATCTTTCTCACACTGAGTAGTAGCTCTTAGCTGCACATTGCAATCACCTGGGGAGCTGTAAGAGCCATGGATGCTTTGCCTGTTAAATCAGAATCTGTGGTTAAGGGATCCAGATACTGTTTTTTGGTTTCCTTTTTTCTGTTGCTGTCTTGTTTTTTACTCTCCAGGTAATTCTGATTTACAGCTAGGGTCAAGAACCAAT